ATTTTTACTTTAATAAGTCTATTTTTGATGTGTGTGCACATGCAAACAACTGTGTTGTCTCACTGTTTTCAGAATCTTACATCTGTAGCACCACATTTATTAATATTATGTCATGACTGTAAAAAATGTATCATGAATTCCCTGCATTCTGTTAAAAGGACAGTTCACTCAAAAATGACAATTCTGTCATTTACTCACCTTCAAGTTGTTTCAAACCTGTATGAGCCTCTTTCTTCTGTTGAGCACAAAAGAATATATTTTGAAGAATGTTGGTAACCAAACAGTTGACGGTAGCCATTGACTTCCATAGTATTTTTTCCACTCTATGGAAGTCGATGGCTACCGTCAACTGATGAGCGACTTTTATGCTCAACAGAAGAAAGAAACTCATACAGGCTTGTATGAGGGTGAGTAAATGATTACAGAATTTTCATTTTTGGATGAACTACCCTTTAAGTATGCATGTACATAGTTTTTAATAATGAAACTAACAGATCTTTAGGGTGATTTCTTTGCTGTCCGTGTTTAACAAATGCATTTTCAATGTCTCTTTCTCTCTCTCAGGCCCATGAAGCTGTCATTAGGGGTCAGTATCCCGCTCCAGAAGAGACTTTGCAATTTCTGGCTGCTCTTCGGCTCCAGTATCTTTTGGGAGACTACACTACCCAGAGTGCCTTGCTTGAGTTGGAGCAGGTGTTCCCTATGGACCGCCTGCATGCTCGAGTACAGCAGTCCGTACGGTGCTTTGCATCTGCCACGCCATCCACAGAAAGAAAGAGGGGCAGTTTTCTGGAAGGCACGCTGAGGCGGAGCATACGAGGGTCACTGGGGCGACAGCGCCAAGGGGAGGGACCTGCAACCATAGAGGTGTGGCTGCAAGACGAGAAGGCGGGGCTGAGAAGTTGTTTGATGGAAAAATGGCGTAAACTGCAGGGGATGGAACAGGACCAAGCCATGAAAAAATACATGAGTCTCATCAAGGAGTGGCAAGGATATGGATCAACCCTCTTTGATGTGGAGGTGAGCGTGTACGCACATGCACACACACATACACACACACGTGATCCATCAGCCAGCAGGGTCACTGAATAAATTCTCTCTGTTTGTCAGTGTGTAGACGGTGTGTATCCCGGAGAGCTATGGTTGGGCGTGAGTCGTAAGGGAGTGTGTGTGTACAAGCGCGGGGAGGCGTGGCCTCTGGAGGTGTTTCCCTACGAGGTGATTCTGTCCTTCGGTGCACCGCAGTCAAACAGCTACAAGATCAGCGTGGAGGGACGAGAGCTGCTCTTCAACACCACCATGGTACAAACTTTCCATATTTACTTGCATGCTTCCCCCATAAACAACTCTAAAATTTGTCATTTATAGTAACTTGTTGCCTCATCGGTCAAATCTTTCACAAACCTGTGGATCATTTGAGTTGGAAATGACCCATTCTGTGAGTTAACTCGAGACTCACTCCGACTGAATGAATCAACTCATCAGTGAGTTTTTAGCTTGGGAATCGCTGCTAGAATCAGTCTATTCATGAATGAATCATTCAGTGGGGTTTGTGCAGGGCTGTCCAGACTCGGTCCTGGAGGGCCGGTGTCCTGCAGAGTTTAGCTCCAACCCTAATTAAACACACTTGAACCAGCTAATAATAAATAACACTAAAATAACACCTGCAGTGCATATTATATGAATTTTTATTTTAATGAGAGAACTATATTTCATTCAGCTCCACTGTGATCATTTCTAAGACTATAAAATGATGCAACTTTCAAATAAATTTCAATTAAATTGTTTGTTTCTTGCCGTTTATCTTTTGTGAATGATTTAGACTGGTTGTGACAAACACACAAAATCCAGCCTAGAATTTCTGACGCTATCCGGTGGACAAAACGTGACAATTAGATTTAAAAATCCATATTCTCAGGGGTGCACATACGTTTTTTCAGGCTGGTTCTCATAAGAGCACCTGAAGATTCGGTTTGGTCCTCACACTGCACATAGTAAATATAACTATACAAAAAAACTAATTAATAATAGTGATAATAATATTGCACTATATTTAGTTTTCTTTTTAATAAAATAATAAAGTGTGAAAATACTATTATATTTTAAAATAAAAAGGGTGTATTAATTAAAAGTACAATTATTTTTTATAGTAAACTTAAAATAAAATGCTAACATTTACTCTTTTTTTTCTTTCTTTAATATATGAATTTTCATCATTTTATAACTTAAAATCAGCAAGCTTTTATTTTGGTGGGTTGCCGGCAGTAAGTATATGGGCTGCCGACTGAAGAGCACCAGGGAATGAAATGTCGCAGTTTTGCATTGTGTTTTGAAAACTGCAGTGGATAGCCTAGACTTATGCATTCGGCTCGAATAGAAATCTTATGGAGTATTACAGTTTGTCGATCTAAAATGGTAATTGTGCATTAACAGCTGTCAAATGAGCGGTCTGAACTTATTTACACAGCACATTTTTTTATTTATTTTGGCCACGCAGCGTACCACTTACGTGCACCCCTGCATATTCTGCACTTCTTTATATTTTGTATTCATCGTCTACTTTTTATTTATTTATAAAAAATTTAAAGAGTAAGGCAAAATCCTGTTTTTTGTGATATGACCCTCTATAGCAGGGTTCCTCAAATCTTACCCTGGAGGTCCAATGCGCTGCAGAGTTTAGCTCCAACCCTGATCAAACTCACCTACCTGTGCTTTTCTAATGATCCTGAAGACATTGATTAGCATGCTCAGGTGTGTTTGATTAGGGTTAGAGCTAAACTCTGCAGGAAAGTGGATCTCGTGGGCCAGATTTGAGGATCCCTGCTCTATAGCGTGTAAACTAAGATGCTCTGTGAGCTGAAGGATCGTCTAAGCTTGTAATAATGATTCTGCACTTTTGAGACACCTGGTGGCCAGTTTCTGAACTACAACCCCATACAGGAAAACAAAATCTACAAAGTAAATAAGTCTACAAAGCCCAGCGTTGAACCCAGGGCTCTTCAAAAAGTGTCTCAGACAGATGATTAAAGTCAGCAGTGAAGGATATTCCATCTCAAGACGGACATCGTCCAACCGTGAGCGAAGATCTTCAGAGTCTTCATCAGCCTGCTCTTCAAACACCTGCAACTGAACCTTGAGCTCCTCGTTCTCAATCGATCTCACCTCCTACACACACACACACATACAGATGGAGAACTTAAGTGAAACTGAAATTTTTATTGTGCCATTATCTAAATCAGTGATGAGTTAGACATGGGCTGTCCAAACTCGGTCCTGGAGGGCCGGTGCCCTGCAGAGTTTAGCTCCAACCCTAATTAAACACACCTGAACCAGCTAATCAGGCTCTTACTAGGCATAGAAACTTCCAGTCAGGTGTGTTGAGGCAAGTTGGAGCTAAACTCTGCAGGACACCGGCCCTCCAGGACCGAGTTTGAACAGCCCTGGGTTTGTGAATAAGTTCAACAGGTTTATTGAAAAAAAAAATCACTCAAAAAAATTATTCATCATGAATCAGACAACACTATCATGTCTCAGAGTAATGGAATGTCGTTTTTTTTTAATGTAGTGGAATAAAAATGATATACAGTAAAATGTTTCGCAAAATAAAAGTGATACAAATACAGTAATAATGCTTCGTCAATGTCCACCATTGCCACTTAGCAACCACCATAACACCCAAATTTTACACAGAACACTCCTCATAATTACTTCAGAAAATATTAAAAACAGTCAGTTTTATTTTATTTATTTATTTGTTTGTGTTTGTTTTTTGGACATTATGAAGGCCTGAATGTTCATATGTTTCTTCCAGGATTATTATTTTTGTTAACTAAAACCATAAAAAACATTAACAAAAACTTTATTTATAAAAAAAAAATGTGTTAAATACGACATTGACTGAAATAAAATAAAATAATTTCTACACTTTTGTTTAGTTTAACTTAAAATAACTATAAAATAAAAATAATACTAATATAAAAATAAATAAAATAATAATAAATGGAAAAAATGCAACAAAACGACAAAAAAATTTAATTAAAAAAAATTAAAACGTTCAAAATATCAATAAAACTATAACAGTATATTAATGATACTAAAATAACACTAGATTCCTCTCTGTGTTTGTCTCTGTAGGTGATGGGCATTGCAAAGCTCATGAAGGCTTACATCAGTCTAATAGTGAAGAAACGTTTCAGCACTTGTCAATCCATCAGCAGCCACGGCAGCAACTGGTGATCTCTCACTTCTGACAAACACTTTTCATAAATGTGCCTTTGAGGTTAAGCATCGGCAAACGGAACAGTTTAATTACGAATTCGCAAAAAAAGTGACCCTTAAATGCTGAGTGCGAAAAAAACAAAGACAATATCATGACACACTTTCACAACAGACACTATCATGTTCCCACAGACACACACATTGAGTTGTTGTGCTTGAAACTGTGCCACACATACAGGTCTGTTCACTGAGCCCCATATTTTACGTTGCATTAACATTTTAATTCAAGTCCAGTTGCATTTCTTTGGAATTCTGCAGGCAGAAAGTCCAGTCCGAATTAACCAGCACTCAAATCCAGTGCCTTTAAAAAACACAGAAATATACACACATATGCAAACACAAAGAGTGCCCTTTTTGTCTGTTTTATCTGTACAATGTTTATAATGTATGTTATATATATTCTAAAGAGCTGTATATTTTATAAACCTTTTCTGTTGAACAGCAGGATTGTGATAATACTATTATAATACTACTCATTTTTATAATGATATTTCTACTCCAATTTATTGATGAAATATAAACTTTTAAACTAGTGGCTGTCATAAAAACAAACATACATTAAATATCACTAACAGGTTAAGTAAAAATAATGAATATATAATATAGTGCATATATTTTTCAAATGCTCTCTAAAGTTTTTTTCCCCCAAGCTAACAAGCTATGGACATAGAACGGCTTTTCTGAGGAAAAAGTAACGTTACGTGACATTGTTTACAAGCTGTTTACTTGACTTCTTTCCGTGGTTGTAACACTGATTGAGTGATTCACAAAACATGATAGTTTTCAATAAGTTGTACTGTTACTTAAACATAACTTCTGCTGGTCATTCATGTTTATTTTGTGCGATAAATGGGAAGAAACAATCGGCTTGAACTGGGGTGGCTTCAAAAATCTGTCACGCCACATTAGAACGCCAAAACAAGGTGTTTTGTTTTGGTAATATAAATTAATCGAATTTGAAAGATGAAACTTTGTTTCAAATCAAAATCATGCTATTATTAGATGGGAGGTGCTACAAATAAGTTTTAATGCTATTTTAATGCATCAGCCGAAAACAGCATAGACTAAAAGGTCGATCTTGGGACTTGAGAATCGCTATTATTCACTGAAATGAAGATCGATTAAAATCGATTAATCGTCATTGTCAAACCAGCCCAACTTTTTACAGGGTATTTTAGATTTGTCAGCCATAGTTAAATGGACATGAACCCGCAAAATCTGCATATTAGCTGGAGAAAACTGAGTTGTATAGGACTAATGTGGTTTTCGTGCATATATTTGTGACTCACCGATACACACAATGTCCATGACTGCATACATGCCATAGCAGATCTGGAACAGGATGTCACTGCGTTGCCATAGTGCCTCCGGGCTCAGTGCTGACCACAGCAGCCATGATACACTGGCCAACAGAAAGATGCCACCCAGCAACACTGCAATGACCTGAACCTTCTCCACCAGAGTCATGGTGACAGTCTGCCACTGACAAAACATACAAACACAGTCACTGATTCAAGCTCCAGGCTGAGACTAAAGGCTGGAATACACTACATGACTTCAAATCTGAACAGATTTTAAAAACATTTGGAATCATACACTTACAGACTTTGTAAATAGTCACAGAAAAAAACGGGGCATCCTGCACTAAGGTTTACACAATAACAGACTTTCAAGCTGTTCTGAAAACAACAAATTCAGGCAGAAACATGTGCCTTGCTGCTAGGAGATGCATGACAAATGAAAATAATATGTGTGTTCTAAATGTGTCTCAAAATATCAAACATGTTTGACATCCTCTGACTGGATGAAATCACGGCCTGATGAAAAATATCTGTACTGATCACACATTACATGATTTTCTGTTAAATCTGTCAACTCAAATATGCAGACTGGCTCTGACTTCTGGCAACTATTTGTCCAGACTGTAAATTGGGGGAAAAATCCGGGCAAAAGTTGTGTAATGTATTCCAGCTTTAATCTGATCATAAATGTCATAAAAATTTTGTTTTTAATTCAAAATCCAGTCACCATTGGTGACAGACAGTCAACAACAAACACAACACAAGCTGTGGTGTCTGATTCGCAAACAAATTATTCTGATCTGGTTAATTTGATTGAGTTTAAAAGTTGTGTAATGTATTCCAGCTTTAATCTGATCATAAATGTCATAAAAATTTTGTTTTTAATTCAAAATCCAGTCACCATTGGTGAGACAGTCAACAACAAACACAACACAAGCTGTGGTGTCTGATTCGCAAACAAATTATTCTGATCTGGTTAATTTGATTGAGTTCGTGAAAACGAAGTAGCAAAGTCCAAACCACAACTATAACAATAACAAAACCTAGGAGTGTTGGAATCACTTTAGAATCACTTTTTTCTTGCTGATGACTGAAAAAAACATTGACAGCCGTTCAGAAACAATTCACCCGAATTTAAAGAGTTTGAGCATTCAAAGTGGCGGACGAAACTGCAGTGCAAGCTTATAATAAACAGAACGTTATAGTCCGCTGGTATGGACACTAATATAGTTATTGTTATAGTTATCTTTATCATTCTTGGTGTGAATGGGAATTTTAGTTTGAATCAGAAATGTTCTGTTCAAAAATGGTCCTAAATGCTTCATTTTTGGAGTCATTTTCTTGAGCGATATCATAAATCCCAGTGTGTTTACCTGTTGTGGTGGTTTGATATGTATAGGCAGGATGTTGAATCTATAGTTGCAGAGTTCACAGCTCCAGGAGCCCTTCTCACTGATCCACTTGAGCAGACACTGCTGATGAGCATGTCGGACAGAACCAGCACAGCGGCACGGGCTCAGCAGCTCCCCCTGCAGCCAATCACAACACACACAGACAGACGTGTCAATCAGCCAATCAAAATAAAAGACAGATTCAGTTGAGCTGATGATTCACTGCTGTATCATTTTTTTATTGTGTGCCTTTGCAGATGAGTTGAGCATTGAGGTTGTGGAACCGTGAACAATGGCACACATTAGCGGTTTTGTCTAAATGAGGAGAACATTTAGAGTGAATGAAACACTATGCACATAATGACAGAGATTCATCTCTGTGAGTGGACGGGAAAGGATTCATCTGTGCATTCATGAATAATTTCAGAAACATCCTCATTTAGAACTATAATGAGTCTGAAAGAGAATGGAACTCATTCACACACACTTACACACACAAACACAAGGCGCCTCGAGGAAGCACATTAGCCGCAGGAAGGGAAGAGCATTAGACATGAATGGCGCAACAGGTATTCTAATGGATCTCACACACCACACTGTCTGTTTAAAGCATTAAGAATCATCAAGGTTTCCAATATTCGAATAATTGCATTAATTATGTAGGCCCAAAATAAATGTTTATGTACAAGGCTATATTTCTCATGCTATCCTAACACTTGTCAACAGCTGGATTTATTTGTGAACTGCTTTGACCGCCATTACCTGCATAAGACCAACATCAGGATGGGACAACCAAATTCAGAATTCATCAACTGGCTCTAATGTAATTCATGAGTTTCTATTTAAATTGCATTAGCCACTCTCATTGGGATCACTGGCCTCTAACCAGATTTCATCTAAAAAAAACGCTTTCCGTATATGAACCTAGGAGGATTGTCAGTGATTGATTGATTAATTGATTGACCAACAGAAAGTTGAAACTGAATTTGAATTGGAATGATAGGAAGAGAAATTCAACACAGGTAGTGCATTGTAGGAAATGAATTCCTGCTCCACAAAACGTAATTTATTAAATAAGTTGAAACATATCAACCAAATACAAATTACTATAGGTTTTTTATATATAACACTATATATTTAGAATTATTTAATATATAATAATGTATGCAAAATATATAATTACAGTTGTATATACTTTATTGTGATATCTGTTTATGTTACACTATTAATGTTTACGCATTCGATGCTTGAGATAAAACAAATCTGCTAAATGAATAATAAAAATTGCATGACATTCAGATTCGTTTGCTGTTTACTCAATTCAAATTCCGTTCAAGTTCAGGTATTGAATTGGAGTTTAAAAGACATTCTCAGTTCAAATCTGGATGCGCACAATCCTGGCTACAACCAAAGACGTCGTTGTGACGCATACACACAATACATCAGGGATCCTCAAATCTGGCCCACGAGATCCACTTTCCTGCAGAGTTTGGCTCTAACCCTAATCAAACACACCTGAGCATGCTAATCAATGTCTTCAGGATCATTAGAAAATCACAGGTAGGTGACTTTGATCAGGGTTGGAGCTAAACTCTGCAGCACATTGGCCCTCCAGGGCAAGATTTGAGGAACCCTGCAATACATAGACCGACAACAAATAACGCAGACGGAACGAACAAAAGACTTCACCTGCTCGGCTCCTTGAAAGCAAATCCGACAGCCTGGAGTCGGGATGCAGCTCTCGTTGCTGCAACTGGAGCCCACTGTTTCCGATTTCCCCGCGCTCTGCCCGACGATGTCCTTGTCCTCGGCCGGTGTTTCCGTCCCTGCCCGTGCACCATCCTCGCTCTCGATCTCTGTGATCGGATCACCCGCTGCCGGTGTTTGAGCTCCAGCGCCCGACTGCAGGTCATCCTCACTGAGCTCGCCATCGCTCCCTAGCACCGTTTGGAGCTGAATCTCTGCGGCGGCTACGATATCGGTGGCGCCTCCCGGTGGTTCATCCACCGTCTGCACGTTCAGCGGACCCGCCTCTGCTTGCACATCCATGAATGACGGCACTTAGATCAGAATGAAATAGCAAAATGATGGGGTTTGAGCTTTTACGGGCCTCTATCAGATTTTCCACGGCTCTCCTTCCCTCTGGGATGCATAGGTCTGGCCATAGATCTGCGTCTCAAACCGCATGCGTTCTTAGAAAGGCACACGCTTCTGTTGAAAGTTGCAGATGTCCAGGCTGTGCGGCGTGCTGTGCACCGTGTCTCGTTGGCTGAAAGCAGCTTTTCCCCGGATGACACACTTCCATCCGGGCGCGGTGCTGGAACACCGAGCTGAGAAGGCACGAAACGCGCATAACCACACCGCTAACCTTCACAAAAGAATCCGATGTTCCGGAGTGTGTGAGTGTTGAGAGAGCGAGTAAAGACGAGCGACGGAGCTGTAACTGGCGGGACAGTCGTTTGGGTAACTGTTCTATGATGGACCCGCGAGCCACCCGCCCCGGAGCCACGCGCACTTTGCGCTTACTGCCCTTTCCAAGATTTACCATGGTAACCATAGTTACCCACTAGGTGGAACGGTGGTCATTTGATATTATGCTTAATATGAAATAAAAGCCACCACTATGAAACAAAGTAGGAAGACTGAAAGGTTCTTACGGGGGTATGATACCGGTAGCCTACCTTTTCAATTTCAAGTGATTTTTTTTTAAACATTCTGTCAGTAATGTAAAGAATTGCCATCAATGGCATCTAAAGCTAAATCAATATAACCTAAGATATATATTTTGCCTTTAGAGTGGTGACCGAGTTTGACAATTTAAAGATATTTAAATATTAGCATTTTTAATTATTATTACGAAAGCAGTTGAATTTTAATATTGTTCAACAATTTATTTATACAAAAAAAAACGTATTCAGAAAGGCATTGTTGATATGCTGGATAACGTTTAAAAAGAAACAAACAGCAAATAAATACGAAAGTAAAAAAGATAACTTAAAAATAGACATAACTACAAATTCTATTCCTTTGGCAAATTCAAGCTCACCTTATTATATTTTATATTATTTTATTATATATATATATCCTAAATGTTATATATTTCAAAGAAAAGGAGTGGTAGGAGAGTAGTCTGAATTGGGTTCTAGCATCATGTGCCAGTTAATTATTCATTGCGTCAGGTGGTCGCGTCAGGTGGCTCGTTATGTTGCGTTCTAAAGTCTCGCGCGACAATTCTGCATTCTGACCCATTTTCCTGTGCGCTCGCTCATTTGTTCATATGATGTCCTGTAGGGATAGCGATTGGTTCTTATCTCAGACCTTCCCCGAGGTGATTTGATAAGTCATTAACACTCCGTTTGAAACCTCTACAATGAACTTCCTACTTCCTACTAAGTGAGTTCTTCGGTGGGTCCTTATATAGCCTTCTATATATTCACTGGGGTTTTTTCTAGGCTTGATTGTGTTTATGGGGTGCAGTCTAACATGTATTAAAGAACCCATGAAATCAAAATTAAAGTGTTTTGGGTGTTGGTATCAATATGTTAGTCTTAAGGTTATCTATAAGGCAGTGTGCTCCAAAATAGTGACAAAATTCGCATTTAGAAGATATAAGCATTCAAAGCTTGCAGTTCGTCACTTCCGCCAAAACGGCTCAACGATTTTGTTGACGTCACATCGTACTTCAGCTTCTCATCAAACTTTCTGTCCAATTATGGAGGAAAACATGGTTATTACCTATAAATACTGTATAATAAAGTGCATTTTAAAATTTTGCGTAATATATACCCTTGTAACGCTTTTGTGTCAATTTTGTGATGTAGCTGATATATGCACCTTTTGTAAAAAAGAAAGTGAAGATATTTGTCATTTATTTTTCTCTTGTAATGTTTCATCACTTTTCTGGAAAGATTTGAGTTCCTATTGTTTTTCTAAAGTTAATATGAACTGTAATTTACACATTAAGGATGTTGTTTGCTTTTTTGAAAACCAAAACAAATCTTTAGAATCTGCTGTTAACTTTTTTTCTCATTTTGTCTCTCATAGTTGAGGTATACCTATGATGAAAATTACAGGCCTCTCTCATCTTTTTAAGTGGGAGAACTTGCACAGTTGGTGGCTGACTAAATACTTTTTTGCCCCACTGTACATTGTAACATCTGAGGGGCACGTTGTAACATGACCATATAACAGCTTAAAATGTTATCTGATCAAATGAAAAAAATATACAAGATAAACTAAAATATTTTGTTAATAAAATAAAATTATTTATTTCAAATGAAATAATGGCGTTTTTTAAGAATTAAAAATAATCTGATTTTGGAGTTTGACAATGAACACATTGCAACCATGCTTGGGACGGCCCACATAAATAAGCCAAAATGCTTTACATGTCTTGAAATAATAATTTCTTAACATTAAACATTGACTGTCAGTCTTTATTCACCTGTTTCTCGTCGTTTATCATTAAAATTTGTTAAAATAAATAGTGTAAATTACATAGTTAATGTCATAGAATAGCACGGCAGGGCACATTGTAATGCAGTGTTACATCGTGCCCCGTCTGTGCTACTGGAATTTAAAACTGGTTACTGTCTTCTGATAGTTAGCGAAGCATTAAAAAATCATTTAAACTGATAAATAACAGATTGGAGATTAAAATAATAGCAGATTTGTCTACTTTTAAATGAGTAATAAAAACTGAGATGAAAAACGTACTTAAGCCAGAAATATAATTTTACTATGGTAAAATAAATGTTCAGTGATATCTTCAAAAGACTTTTGAATTTTGGTGCACTTTTTTTCTCTATATAATGTTGATATAGTAACTAATAAATACTGTAAATTTTGTTATGCTAGCATGTGTGGAAATATTTAAACCACGCGTGTTACAACTTACCCCGCGTTACTTTGTGCCCCGCGCTCCCCTATTTTTGATACATTGTGTAATGTATGCATAGTTGTATTTCAGTAATGTCATCTCTGAATTGTTTGCAATAAAAATATATAAAAATAAATAAACTTTCTGTCCAATCAAATGCTCTCTAGAATCCGAAGCGCCCGCCCCCTACACTATAAAATAGACGCTGAAGCCGCGGCTGAAATTGGTCACTTGTCCACAGAATTAGTATTTTCTGTACAGTGAATGGCACGTAGTGCACTATATAGGGGACAGGGAACAATTCAAACAGTATAAATATGCTTTCCATTGTGGAAAAAAAGAAGTCTGGTTTTGTGCTGTGTCACGCTAACCACCGCACCGCACACACGATAACACGGAGCAGATCACATGCGCGAGTCGGCGCAGACCACAAAATGTATCGGAGCTATTTCAATTCTACACAGAATGCTATATTTTATAGCAAAATCGATGAGATTGTGGCTGGCATACCCTGTCAAATTCAGCTTTACGGAGCTCAACGGCTCTGAACAGCTCTAGCCCAAGCTGTGATATAAACGAACGCTATTGGCTATTTTAAAAAGGGGCGGGGCTGCTTGATATGTCCCGCCCTGTCTTCCTGTTTCAGTTAAAATGACGTCATCACATAAGAGTAATGCTGTGTTTCTAAGCATTTCAGGGGACCTTTAATGCTTCGTTTTTTTAAAAACTGATTATTTTTCACATAATTTACTTTTATTCCACACAATTCTGTCCCTTCTCTGATAAAGGGGCTGATCTTTTTCTGTTTTTATGAAGCCCCACCCTCAGAAATAGGCGATGAGCTCTGATTGGTTAGCTGGCCCAGTGTGTTGTGATTGGCTAAACCGCCTCTAGTGCGTGTCTAAACGTCCCGCCCGTCACCTCAGTGGCATGTGCTCCAAGCTAGGGATGGGCATATTGATCCAAAGTATCGATATATCGATACTGACGCGAGTATCGAAAGTATCAATACTCAAACAAAAAATATCGATACTAAGGTGTGTTTTATTTACCAGTGAATTTGCTAATTTAACACACAAAAAAAATCGTACAATATGCATTGAATTGAACGAATAACCTTTGTTAGCGAGTAATTGTGTAGGATAGAATTATTTTCCTGCTATAAACGAACGCTATTGGCTATTTTAAAAAGGGGCGGGGCTGCTTGATATGTCCCGCCCTGTCTTCCTGTTTCAGTTAAAATGACGTCATCACATAAGAGTAATGCTGTGTTTCTAAGCATTTCAGGGGACCTTTAATGCTTCGTTTTTTTAAAAACGGATTATTTTTCACATAATTTACTTTTATTCCACACAATTCTGTCCCTTCTCTGATAAAGGGGCTGATCTTTTTCTGTTTTTATGAAGCCCCACCCTCAGAAATAGGCGATGAGCTCTGATTGGTTAGCTGGCCCAGTGTGTTGTGATTGGCTAAACCGCCTCTAGTGCGTGTCTAAACGTCCCGCCCGTCACCTCAGTGGCATGTGCTCCAAGCTGGTATTGTAAACAATGGCTTCATTAATATCACTTATCAGTTTGAGCCGGATTGAGAAGCAGAGAATATTATTGAAGAGGATCGTGCAGAACCTGTGCAAGCACGGCTTTTAATGGTAGGCCTATGTTTTTTGTTTGTTGTTGTCTCATACTTTTAGATATACTGTTATTTGTAAATGCTATTGCTTATGTTAGCTTTTAATATAGGGTTTTATCCTGATTAAAGCTTTAATACAGTATGGCAACTGCACGCATAACGCTTCTCATAGCTATGTGAAAATAAGTGTATAATTGGAACAGTTCATTGTTGGAGCCGAGTTTAATGAGAGAGAGATGCAGAGAGTGTGCAGAGCAGGGGACGCGAGGAACAGTATTTAGAACGCTGCTTTAGAACATTGATTTTGAAACTTGTGAATCCATTAGAATCCTTAGAAGATAGAATCGCGATTCATATATAAATAGATTTTTACATGCACCTCTAGTTTTCTCTTCCTCTTCTCTAAAGCAGCGCAGCATGGCCTCGCCCCCTTTGTTGCATGTTCCTGGGGGCGGGGTTTATCTGGGTTTATGATGTCACGAACCCGGGAAGTAACTTGTTGTAGTCCCTACCAGCCGTTTTTGTAGGCATTAAACTGGCAAAATTTTAAAAGATCTCCGTTTGCATTGAACTTTCAGCTTCGTAACTTTGCAGATATTGTTTATGCTCAAACAGCAACATTACACACTAACTAACGTTAAAAAAGTGAAATCGCAATGAACCACCCCTTTAAGAATGCACACCTTTAGACCTATTTTTCTATGTTGTTTATGTTTTCCAATTTAATGGCATTATTCCGTTTAAAACACTAATGGAAACTGTTCCAGTAAAACTGTGGGAATATGTAAATGAGGTCGCTGTGATTGGTCAAACCATTGTGTTCAGGTGCGTCGTTTTTGATCTAAGCATTTAATCTGTGCATATTTACAATTTTACTGATTTAACCCTCATGTTCTGTTGTGATTTTACCGTCTTTATTTTTGAATTTCCTGTTGCTAAAACTGTACCAAGATGCTGTATAAGTGAAGAGTCATCTACTATTTTTCATCAAACAGCCCCTCAAAGGTTTAATTTTAGCTTTCCACAGATCTCCATGGGTGCATTTGTCACACTTACTGATATAAATACAGTGCTGTTGCCAGATTTAAAGTTCATCAACTGATGTGGTGTTTCTGTCCCACAGGCATATGTGCACAGTGTTTTATGGTTTCTCTGAGGTTGTAATTACCGTCTGGTTCTCGGCTGTTGGGTTTATGTTGTGCGTTTCTCTCAAGGGTATTAGGTAGGCCTTATGGAACGTGTACATAACTTGCTTACCACAGGTAATAAAACTGTATAGATCCAACTCCTGCTTGGATTTGTCTTTGCTTAAAGGTTAAAGATGCTATTGCTGTTACTTTATGATTTGCTGTAAGCATGTCCTATTCATTTTTGACTGAAAGAAAAAAAGAGGCTAAAGAAGTACGGTGGGTTCAATGGATTGCACTGTTGTTTAACTTGCCAGTTGTTACTTTAGCTGACGAAACATCTTTCAGGAAAAAAAAACCTTCAGTAGACTAAAACTTCATTTGAAAGTTGTGAGTTGTGAAAATTAAGTGAACTAGGACCTTTATACAGTGCATGTCATTGTAAAGACTGTAAGTATATCCCTCGCAGACTTGGTTTCATCCTTGTAAAATTCAGTATATGGCATCAACCCTGACTAAGGCCTTTAGGTGAGAAAGGAATCAGTCTGTCTTAGCAAAAGTGCTTGCAATGTTAAAGAAGAAAATACTCCTACCCAGGTGCTGTGGTTTAAATGGATGTTCATTTTTTAGTAGAATCTTACTAACCAAAGCAGTATAGCATATAATGAATTTCAAAAGTATATTTGTGTGTTTTTACAGGCCAAAAATGTCTAGTCATCACTGCTTGCTTGTCTGGGATCAGTGCACAGATGTCAAGAGAAGTTTAACCTACTTCCATAGTCTGTGCAACACATTAAGGGATTTTTGTTTTTGAATTTTGACAGTGTAACATGACTGGTAAAGTGGAAAAACAATGTCCTGAGAAAGATGAGTGGTGCAGAGGTGTTTTGCAGAAATAAATGAAAAACAAATGAATCAGAATGTGTGACCTTTATTCACCGACTATGCTAGCGCACAGCATAAACCACAAAACACACTAAAGGAGTTTGACCAGTAATGGGAGACACAACAACATGGAATAATAAAGTAAATAAATAAATATATTTGGTAAGTGACAACATGTACAGAGAGACAAAGACACAAGATAAATCAGTGCCATATCTGTAAATGATAATGTATAGATTACATGATAATACATTTCAATATCCATGCTTAAATTAAACAATCTTTTTCCAGGTGAGTTAAAGATGCACATTTTGGCTATCAATTATTTGCTCTTAGATTTAATTGTTTCTCTTTCATACCACCGCTCACCAGCAAGAGGCATCATAACCACTCTGAACATTTGGAAAGTTCTTCAATTGTGTAGTAAAATCAATAGTATGTTCCTGCACAAACGGAGGCTGCAGTTCCAGGACCGCAGTTCTAGGACCCGGTTCTTTTGTAACAGCGCCATCCGAATTGGATCACTAAAGATGAACGACATGGACAGCAATCAGAGTGAGTAACTTTACCGACTTTCAATTAAGTTTTATTTTATAACCTTAAAACGATGCAAAGTTTACGTAGCCAACGTGAGAACTGCTAAGAAATAATAATTAATTCCCGATTGCTAGTTTTATTGATTATCACGATGTTCTTAATTCGTGGCCATGATTTAAATAAGCTAAACCTTGTTGACATAATGACTATAAGAAGTAAATCTAGCCAGCACATTAATTAAACTTAAAAAGATGATAAAAGCATGTTGATGTGAGATGTGTCACATCTATTAGTGTGAAAACTTGTTTGATACTTCATCTGCAGAGGTAAAGAGACTGCTGGACCTCATTGTAAAGTTACAGGGATCTGAGGAGCATTTAGTGGTACTTAAACAATGTTCACATTTAATCATCATTAGAAACAAACTCATAGTAAAGGTTCACCAAGGGTCTTAATTAGGAATAACATTAACAATATATTTGAACTATGCTGCAAATTATTGTATCTTTATCTTAAATGTACCAATTTCCTCAAAATAACTGTTTTTGCACCATGGTTTGCCCATAGGTATTTAATGTGGTCTTATTATTTATAAGTGCTCTTTGTCTGCTTTAAGTGAAGTAACTTCACTATACTTAAAGCAGACAAAGTCCACTTATAAATAATAATAATAATAATAATTTTTCTCAAACAGACATAAGATCAGATGAATGTGTACACATTTGCTTTGAACTATTTTTTATTGTAATATCAATTTGATTATTTTGATGGTACCCTTTAGACAACTGTTGATAAGTAACTCTGTGACTACATGCCAACTAGCAGTCATTAGAGTATTAGACTGTCTGCTAAATATCTGCTAACACTTTTTTTTGATGGTTCCCCAACAGATATTCTACTGACTATAAGCAATTTTGCAAGTACATCAACTTATTCTACCAACCCTAACCCTAACTAAACCTACTAATACTCTAATGAGAGTTAGTTGACATGTAGTTGCAAAGTTGCTTATAGTCAATAGACTAAAGGGGACCATCAAAATAAAATGAAATCTAATAAAAAAAAAGTTGCATTTTTTCATTTGAAAGTATTACAACTGATCTTAAACTAGCTCACAGCAAAATTAATATTAACCTCACAGGAAACACTCAAAACAACACTTCTAACCACTCACAAGATGTAGTAACATACTGTCCAGATCTTAAATAAACAATGTCAAGATAATCCATTATAAATTAAGTGGATTTATTATGGTATTCATTGTGTGTTATATGTAATCATACTCTTAAAAGCTATAACCACAAATGCGTAAGTATTATAATGTATTATAAATGTTATGATTATTTATGAGATGATACAAACATATTATTAAGGGTTTTTATAATTTTTTTATCCATTAATTATAATGCCTTAAGAAAACCATGATAATGTATTATACAGTGGGTACGGAAAGTATTCAGACCCCCTTAAATTTTTCACTCTTTTTTATATTGCAGCCATTTGCTAAAATCATTTAAGTTA